CCCCACCCCGGTCGGGGAGAAAAAGCACGATTCGTTGGGGAGAAAAAAAATTATATGTATTTTCTACATATTAGTAAACTCTAAAATCGATTAAATAAGCCTTTGAAACCCCTAAAATGTCAAAATATTTGGGGCTTCGCCCTCTGGACCACTTTAGAAAGCTAGGCCTACGTATACTGTATGCATGTTTATGTGTATTATGTACATTATTTGTGTGGGCAGGGTGAGGGATGTCTTATTTAAACTCTAAAGTAAAAGTGTGATGTCAAATAAATGTTATTATATTATTATAATACAGGCCTAGGTTTAGGCCTCACTATAAAAGCTGAGAAAATACAAAATAACAAAATCACAGGCTAATATAAAATTAGTTGCTAAAAATCTAAGCAAAAATACTATAAGAAAAATCAAAATAGACCAATTATTTGACGTCCTATTTGACCAATCTGCCGCGCTCAGCACACAATCTTATTTTTATCATGCCTGCTGTTCTTCGCTCTACTTGTTTTTGTGATTTTTCCCGCCTAACCGCTTAACATGACAACCATTTAGTTATGTATTACACATACACTCATTGATAACCTCAGTATATCGTATTTACAGCGAGAATTGTGAAAATAGAGCATGAATTTATGTCTATATTTTAGCAAGTCAAAGAGAGCATGCATTATGTCTACTTTAGCAAGCTAACGATCCGTATGTCTCGATACGTTCCTCAAATATGAACTACAGTAAATCCTATAGCAGTCAACGATACGATTAAGGCAATTTAAATAGGCATAATTAGGCATTTCGTTTTGATTATGTTTAAAAAAAATCATAGTCATTCAGAAAGTTATTACCAAACGAACGAACGAACGATTACCAAGTTTAATGTTCACATATGTTATAATACCGGTTTGTTTCAAACCAACTGAACCAAGAAAACTTGAGTAATGAAATATTATCGTACTATCATTGCCAAAACCATATTTATGGAGGTGACCCCCAGCGTATCCAAAGTTGGCTGATATTCGGGGCTCTTAAATAAAATGGGCAACTTAAAGAGTTACCATGATTATTGTTCATATAATAACGGTTTGCTTCTAACCAACTGAACCCGGAGCACTTGAGAAATTAAATATCGTATGATCCATTTTTAACAGTATTTATAGAGGGTGACCCCCCAGAGTATCCAAGGTCGGCTGATATTCAGTCCCCTTTAAAATAAATGAAATAATGTGATGCTTCATAAAATTACACAGGGTAGAAATTACGTAATGTTTTACGAATGTACCAAGTCAATAAAGATTTGGATTTGGATTTATTTTGGTGTAAACACCAAGGATAACCCACGAATTTCTGTAGAAGACTTACTTCCAGTGTGGAGTATTTATGGTGGTGATTGTAGTACGCTGGCAGACAATCCCTTACTCTTTTCCGAAGAGTGCACTGCGTTCTTTAACGTGCACATGGGTCATAATGCACACGGGATCAACAGCTAAACGTCTCATCCGAAATACGGTGCGCTTTCGTAACTTCCATTTCAGATCTCCAGCTGAAATACATGGTGAGCAGCGATGGGAATTGAACCGGAGACCAAGAGATCTCCACGGTTCAGCGCACACAGTGACTACCAACAGTTTAGCCGTTAAACGATTCATGATTTACAAACCAGAAATCGTCAATCGTGTACGCTTTTATTGTGTCTATATTTTATTTATTTTTATATTCAAACGTCGACTACAAACACACATATGTTATTTAAAATGTGTTACGTAATCTCTTAAGTCTTACAGTAAATTTTGTTGTACAGAAAGATGGAATCATCATTGATTCGGGATAGGACTGCTTTCACAAGTGCATGAATGTGAAAGCCTGGAACTTATTGGCTTGAAACGCTACATAAAACTAGCATAATTATTATGATTGTTATTATGGAAAGAATAGTTTTTATCTTTCATATTTTCCACTATTACATGCCTGCTCACAATCAACTCTAAAAATTGCCTGATAAAATCGATTGATGTAAATTATGAAGGCAGGTGGTGGATGAAGCTGAAGTATTTTTTGCCTTCATGAAGTAAGCATGTGTTAATAAAATAATTTAAGCTATCTAGTTTTAAAATAATACTACTAATAATAAACAATTAGAATAGTTGCGTAACATACACTATTTGGAAATTATTATACGAATGTTAGATTAATGTGCGGTGGGAATAGGAAAATGACATAGGGTATTGCAGTGATGACGTCAAGGTTGAATAATAATTATTATTTTACATAATGCTATTTTATACTTAACTGACAGTGACAAAAATTACTTGCACATGTCGACTACGTGGGACAAGCGTAGCAGCCTAAAGCATAGTTAACGCCAAAACACATATCGCAGCCGACCTTCAATGTGAACCACTAAATTTAAACGCGTAGTGACGCAAACGGTACCATACAAATACATCCTACGAAGTACGTTCTGCTTTCGGCGCTAGACTCGTGACATCACATTTTAATTCAGTCATACCCTTTTTGCAATAGGGGGAACTGCCTATATTCATTTTTCTTCTGATACGCGTTACTATGAACCAAGCCTATTCGATTAAAATACGTATTGAAATGACAACACCTTTTTTTTCTACAAGTTCGTGCACGAACATGCATTGAACAACTGTTGGACGATTAATAATGTAATGATAATATAAAATATGTAGCTGTCTGTTGTTAGATAGATGAATGAGGACTAGATATTGAGATTCTTTTCATAATGCTAGCTTATGAGAACAGATGTATACTTGATGTGTGTTGTGGAATTATTACAGACGGTATGGCATTTATCATTACATTTGTCTTTTAAACGGTAAGCTTGTTAAACACATGTACGCAAATCGAGTCCAATTTATTACAATTTTTTTTACCTGAGTTGAGGACGTGAATTCACATGGTAATTTATGTGAGCCCAACATTAATTTATGTCTGCTTTAAGTGTAAACAATCTAGGATTAGGCCTAGGCCTACTACTCATGTGATTAGCTGTGATATCACGTAGCTTCTTTCACTCCCAGAATCCCACAGGACAGGTAAATTGACAACTAACTAACGGTTTTATTTTTACGATTTCTTATTTTGTCATCCAGACGCAATTAGGGCATGCTTGGTATGGTCTACACGTCTAAGCCGCTTCATCTTCTTACAGGAGTGAAACGTCCATCGCTGTAAGGGCCTAGCAGTATGGTTACAATTTAATGGACCGTGTATCTAAAGCATGATAAAGCATTTCAACCAAGGTCGTAATTTTTCGCATTTCTGAAATGCAACTCTATCAAATCGCAATCATATCTTAAGTAGGCCTGATTGTGTACAACGGATAGCAATTTGTGGTATTGAAATGTAGGCCTATTGTGCGGTAGTGCAGATATACGTTATCTTTTTGAAACAAGCTGTACAGTAGCTTGCTTCAAATTCTATGAAGTTTAGGTTTAAATCCCTACACATACTAAATACAGAATACAACCACACCGTTTCTAACCTTTACAAACGTGACGCAAAGTTCATAAAGCCACCTACGTTTCAAAAACGTGATGTAATACAACCCGTCTGTCTCGAAAATTCAGACGTCACATAATATAACACCGCCCCCAGCGATTTACTGTATTTATTCTTCCTTTTCTTTCAGGAAATATCGTTACAATTAATTTGACAATGTCTGCGTGTCATACTTACGGAAAATAGTATGGGCTTAGTTAGGCCTCCGTTGTTTCCTGACTGCATTTGTCAAGCTAGGCATATATGTGGATTAATTTTCCAATAACAACAATGGAAAATCATTATTTTTTTCTGTTAAAGCTATACTACAAAATTTGTAGAATAACATTTGAAATGTCATTCATTTGAATTATTTAATTAATTTCAGCACGCATACAATCATATTTCAAATACGCATTAAAATGTATTTCTAATGTTTCTAACACTAACGTCATTGATGTATTTACGACCAATTGAAATGAGATGATTTGCACATTACAGTCAATAGCAGCCAATAAATATCTTGATGACGAAATATAGAAATACAATAGGAACTATCTAACATAAGATAACAAACACGTTATATGTAGGTAAAATGACGCATTAATAACGAACACCGACGCAAGTATGGGGAAAAGGTAAATTGCAGGAAGAGAAATAGGCCAACTGAGAAAAAATGAGGTATTTTAGATTTGATTTGAGCATGCGTACAGCACAATCACACGTCGGTGCTAAAGACACGTCCCGTTCCCACCTGTGCGCTTTTAATCGACGATTAAATAAATTAATGCTCATCACGTCGATATGGCCTTTGGGTAAAATCAGTTGTTAATATAATTCTTTTTTAATGCAACTATTCAGTAGTCTACTTAACATTTAATTCCTTTAATTTTGGTTGGGAAATAATTAGCGTAGTTGTGTAATCCTCGGTATAAACGCTTTCTTGTCAGTAAATGGAACCGTTATCAAAAATATTATGAAGAAGTTGAATAGAATATAAGCCGTTATTCATTCAGTAGGCATATATAATTTTAGGTTATGTACGTGTTATTCGGTCAAACACATTAAGAAATGCGAACGGATGTTGTAGATGCCTTTAATATAGATTTTATGCACGCTTTAACTGAGATACTGTGTAAGCTTTTAATTGAATATATCTACAAATTAGAATAATATAAAATTTAATTTATAATTTTCTTCTATTGAAAATTAAAGATATTCTCTTCGCATACTAAAATACCTTGGCCTATGCCTATATATAGTTTATTCCTATATATGCACTAAGCCCGTCATCATCATTTTTCTTCCTTTATTTTGATTTTTTGATCGTTATATAATAAAATCGAGACGTTAAATATAAGTTCTATAAACAAACAAAAAACTAATTTCCAATTATATATCATCGGACCAATTAATATTTATTGTATTGTTTACTGAGTCACTATACCTGAAAGTCGGTTATTTAGTTATCGTGTTGTTTTTTGTTTCTTTTTTTTCAGATGTCATCATGTCGGCTTGATTCAATACAAGAAATGATCAATTCCTGTCCCACGCTACGGTCCCTTCAGACAATTATTTGTTGGATTCAAAGCGACTTTGTATTCCACTGAACTCATTTCATTGAGCATCTGCTCGGCAGTGATTGCAGCCCTCAATATTCAAATCGTCATCGGTAACTCACCATCGACGATTGCATCTAACGTCAGTTTCATCTGCTGTCTCCTCCTGATCGATATTTTTCTACGTAGATAGAACTGAAAAGAGTATTGGTGTTAATATCTATACCAATGCAATAAACAGTTTGATTGAAGATATCGAGCGAACTTTGTGCAGTAAAGACTGTAAAAAATTATATGAGAATACCAATTTCTTGATCCTTGCCTACATCTCATTAAACGATCTGATCGTCTTTTTGAATATACATTTATTCTTTCGAAATACATTGACTTCTAACTTGTTACCAACGTGTTAATGCTTCTACATTGTTCAAGATTAAATTTTTCTTGTCTAATTTTTGACTTACAACTGCCGATGGCTACCGTACGTGTATATCTGTGACTCGGGCGAAAAACGTTGTGCTAAACTGTACAAACAATATTTAATCATCGCTGTCCAGATTTGAGCACGTACAAGAAAACAATTTTCTTATTCATCCCGATCGCTATCTCATTTTTTATTCTGATTTTATTTCAACGATTGCTTGTGATCAGTTGTTACTAAACCGCGCTGTTCACGAACATTATTGTAATGCAACTATCAACACCAAATTTTGTCACTTACATTGTTCCCATCAATGGTTGCCATGTAAACAACGCATCGTCGTACTGTTGAATAAGATTCGGCTTATAGGCTGATATGCTCAAATAGGATTTACGCTCTCGCGACGGACGGATCGTGGTGAGCTCTCTCTTATTATAAGTGGATAACACAGTGTTCCAACGGCTATAATTTTAATTGCGTATATATGCGAAGTAGTTTTCAAGGAGTCCGGCACACAAAATTGATCATAATGTCGGTATCAAACGACTATGAATACGGTTATAACGATTCTTATGTCTTTGAGGATAAAAAGGATTACTTCGTCGAAATTGTGACTTTATTTATTGAAATCATTGGTATTATTGGTAACGCGTTGGTTATATTTATTATTTTGTACTATAAAAAGATGCACAATGTCCCTAACTATTTAATCTTAAGTGTCGCGATTGGCGATTTACTTTTTATGGTGTTCTCGGCACCATTTACTGTCATCAGCTTGGGTTTTCCCTCCGCTGCTGGTAACGAAGTCGTGTGTAAGCTGACGAACTTCATATTGATTTTGTCGCAAGGTGTGTCGGCGTTGTCTTTTACGGCACTGAGTGCGGATCGTTACTTCGCAATAAACATGGCTGTCGCGCCGATGCGTGATTACGCAAAACGCGTCACTTATTTCTCGATAATTGTCAGCTGGACAACGTCTCTCTCATTTGCTCTGCCTGTCCTCTGGTTCTCTACAGTGTACATTCTACCATTTGGAGCAAACATGTACGTGTGTTCGTTTGCACCCGATGACGCTTGGAAACATGCCACGGTTGTCTACCAAACATGTAGGTTCGTGTTTCTGTACGCCTTACCCGTAATCGTCATTTCCGTTCTATACACGTTGGTTGCAATGGAGTTATTTCGGAGCATTCGGGAAATGCCGACGGAATCAACGAGATCTACCTCCAAGTCGGCGTCGGCGTCAAAGAATCAGGCCCAAGCTCGAAAACGACTGGCAATCACCGTACTTGTATTGGCAGTGATGTACACCTTTTGTTGGCTACCGTATATGTTCAAGGAGATTGCCGTTGAAATCAGCGATAAGATTCATTTTAATTCTAATTACAAGAATGTATCCTTCATAATGCTCTACTTAAGTAGTTGTATTAACCCGTTTGCACTAGTAGCAATGAGTAGGAACTACCGCAAGTATTTTTTAAGGTTGCTTTTGTGTGGCAAAGTTCAAGGGAGGCGTAAAAAACCTCACCCAAACACAATAACGTCGTACTCATATAACAGCGTTATGTCAAAGCCCCCACATTGTAATAATGAGATAGAAACTGTAATTGAGGAACCCGAGGTGTGAACTACTTACACAAAATAATGTGTTCATTTATGTGCCAACACAACACAATGCTGGGCCTTCAGTTTCACGTGGCTTGTATTATTATGACGTGTTTGCTTATTGAGTTTGAAAATGACAACAACCTTAACAGAAACCGAATCGACCGGTCAGCAGTATTCATGGACTGCAATGTGTCGGCCTGGATAATAAAGATTGACCATTATGCTGATGGTTTACGAAGACTTGAAGTTGTTTGATTACCTGGTCTAAATCACACCTTTCAATTATCTTTCGACATACGCCACCTGATCTGTGTGCATATGCAAAAAAGTGTCTCATGCTTTCGAACATTATTTCGGGCGCGAAGTTCATCCGTCTAACAGACATTATCTATTGAATGTGTACACAACATCATGTCTCCACTATTGATTAGTTGTGAAGTAGCACGTATCCACTTAAAGACCTTTTAGGGTGGTAAGTTTGTATTTTTGCAGCGTAACGGATACGGTAAAGAATATGTTACCGGCAACAGATGGGTCCCACTGTTGTATACACGTAATAATTATATGCATAGCCTAAGATTCCACTGTCTATGGTTTTCCCAGTGTACCCTACCATTAATCGACTTTGTTATAGTGTAATTATATGATGAACTGTAAAATATCGAACATTATGTCAAATGCAATACACTGCTTCATTATACGAGCATTCCAATACATTAATGGAGTTTATACGCACACGCACTTCATTTTTAACTGCCGCAACTAAAGCCACTGCACACTGCGTTCCCGACAGCCGGCGACAAATCCATCCATACTGTGTGTGGTAAGCGCTTGCCCAACGCGAAATCGTCTGCTGATTTTTGAAGGCAGTCTTCGAGCGGATTGGCATTTAAAATGATCTGTTGCGCAAGCTGTACCTGGTCGCTTTGTGCTCAGTGTGCGGCCGTCTTTAGGCTACACATTTTATAACAGCCAAAATCATAAGATTGAGTTCAATATATCTACAGTAGTACCGTACTGTGCCACAGAACAACGAATGTGAGCTCATAATTATAATGACGGTACCACGTGGGACTCTTGATGTCTTTATCCCCAGAAATGATGTCACCAGATTTTAAATATTACTTCTTTTTTTTCTTTGTTTGTTTGTTTGTTTTTTGGTGTTTTTTTTTTTTTTTTGGATGTCATGTGGATATGTGTTTTTACATGCTAATGTTTTAATTCCCGGTGGTTAAAATTTATATCATTGCGTTTGTCAACGGTATTCAGTAAGTTGTAGCTTAAGATTTCAGATTAAGCACATATTGTCGTCTATTGTACAACTTTAGTTCACATGTATGTCAAAGCCGTCGATAGAAACATCTATCAAAAAAAAGCGCACAACGTATTACGACGGTCGTACTAAGACGGTCGTACGACCGTTGGCCGACGTGTGCATCCTCGCTGTTTGTGGGCGCCTGGTGAGGCGACGCCGTCCGCTGATTGTCAGTGGCAGACTGGGTGGATTGTTTAAAACGATCCGCAGCGATCATTCGTCCCTTTGTTTCGATGGACATTTGTCGGCCGACGACACTCGGCCCAGTGTCTGTCTGGCTTTATAATAATCCGGCGTATATCGTTGAACGATGACGTAGACAATTACAGACTGACGACAGTTGCTATGGCTCTTTGGTCATATGATGGACCACCCCACTAAGACAAACAGCAGCGTAAAGTGCGTACGCAATCATGTTTTGGGACATGCGCGTATTTCTGGGCCTATTCTGATTGGTCAGTTTTTAAGCGTGGCTGACACTCCGTAAAAGTTTATTCATTTCAGCGTCTCTGCGTTAAAAATGGTTAAAATACATATATTATTTTCTCATGACAAAACTACTCAACTCCCTTAGCCTCAATAGAATTTAGTTTATAGAAAATCATATTACCTGTTTTTAATCTTTGCTACAGGCAAATCACTCGTCGTTTTTGTCTTTTTTCAAAATGCTGGCGGTATTATTATTATTATTTATTTCAGAGTTACATTAACGACATTTTATATTGTGTTATACTATACCAAAACTGTCTTTAAGCTAAAATTCAAATCCTTGCTATTCAAAATTTTATCTATTGCATTTACGTATTTTGAAATTGTATATCATTTCTAAAAGTACCGATCTCGTTTGTAAAATCTACAAATTATCGTAGTTGAACGAACGAATAATATTCGTTCGATTGTATGATACCGTATATATTATCTGCTAAACAACACTTGGACAATAAAATTAAAAATCATGTGAATTACTTTGTGTGTTTAATAATAATACCCACGTATTTATAAGGCGCCAATTTCATATTGAGTGATCAAAGGCGCAAGCGTTGGATATTGATGCTAACATTAAGGGGAAAAAAAAACAAAAAACAAAAAAAAAAACCCGACAGCAATTAAATTAAAGCGTACGTGAACTTGTGTTTCTGGGACATGCGCGTATTCCTGACGCTGTTCTGATTGGCCAGTTGTTATTAGTTTGTTTTGCACCCAGGAAAGATCATATAGTTCAAAACTTTCGTCCATACTGTTTGTTTCATCATGTTTCATTTATAATTGTACATGGGGAATCACACTAATAGGGAGTTTTCGCAAGCTTACCAATACGATAACGAATACGGTTACGTCACCAAATTTTAGACAACCCTTCCCCTGCAGAGTAGCATATCTGTCACAACGTAGTCGATTCATGCCTTTTGCATTAATCAAGGATCATATGCAGTTCCTACAGCATAAATATTGTTAAGAATGTTTCAGGTAAAAACGACGATAATGATAATGACGTATTCGTATTCGTTATCGTTTTTGTAAGTTTGCGATATCTCCCTAATGATGAACTTCTATGATAACAAAAACAAAGTAATTATTGATTCGATAACCGGGCAACTATTCTCTCTCCTTATTAGCGTTCTTAATGTAATGATATCTCAATGAGCCAGGCAGATATCTACCGTTCCCTTGATGCAAAATACACCTATTATATTATACATTTTCATTGAAAAAATTTAAAAGAAAAAAAAATTCGAAGATGTGTTATTCTCTGACTATCAATCCTTTGACTATCCAGACTCTAACAAGATAACGTAATTCAGTATAATAGTGACGTCATAACATTGATTGAATTTTAGGTGGCTTTAGCATACCGGTATTATCGTATTCCGTTTATTTCAAACTTCACGAAAAGAAACGGCTTTGGCAGATAATGTGTTAATATCGCAATATGTTGCATCAATAATTATAGAGTAAGAGAGCCCGCATTCATTTATATTAAACTCTATTGTACAACGCACAGACTGTCTGTTAAAACCGCACGTGCTAAGGATGGGTACAGTGTTTTATCGTAAACATTTGTTGTGGACAATATTCTGACGGACGATCGACGGAACGCACAAAATGTGTGATGAGGCGATTGGTATATATTCCTCCTTGACTTAATAAGCATGACTGACACACATGACTGACAGTATTACCGAAGCTTTTCACGACATGACATGGACATTTTCGCCTAAAAACAATTAGGCCTATAGGCCCACTTATATTTATATAGCTTTTAGGCCTACTGTATATCATTCTGCAATATATATGCTGTATATATATATCACGTGTCAATGTTTGTGATACGATGTTGTATTGCGCACGCATTCTATATACGTCACCAATGAATAAATTGACTTTGATGTGCAATAAATGTACGTTTGTGTGTTGTTTTTTGGAATATTCGTCCGACATGGTGATGCCGTGGTGGGTTGTCGGAATAATATCCACGGACTTTTTTTTTTAAAACACTGACACACTTTACAATAGTAACAATTGTAAAAGTAATGTTGTAAAAGGTCGCTACAAATAACAAAGGATAAATATAAAATTTACACAAAACTATAATATAATATTATTTTAAGTAAATGTTATATTAATAGAGTGGGAATGTTAAAATATGGAATTCCAATCGGTAACGTATAAGCAAAAATATTTTTTTGTATAGAAAAAGCGACTAGTGATCGATCAGGCAGGGGACAAATATCAACCTTAGCTTTACCATGGTTTATAAAAGATGGCACATCTAGGCCGACGCTCAGAATATGACATTCTCAGAATGTTTTTGGAGTGTGTATGTATTAAATTTTTTAATTTATCCAACATCTTGTTTGAAAAATACAAATGGGCAAAATATGCTACAGCATTTCTCTAGAAAACGAATTTCATCGTATACTCGAGATTTCAGACATTTAGAAAAACGGCAATACAAAAGCCATGTGAATCACTTATTAAAGCTTTTTTTTCCGTACAACCGCTACATGCTACAGCTTTCGGTGATGCTGATTGGTCGGTCGAATCGGGGAGCCTTCTCCCAAGATTGCGTCGGGGACTGCTACGCAGTAAAAACGGTGTAGTGATTTTAAGGAAACGAGGCTTTACAGATAATCACGCTTAATGAAAAAAGGCTAAGTGAAGCAATGTTTAATCAACTCCCTGGCTAAATTAAAAAAAATAATAAGAATTTGAGACTGACTTATAATGAAGAAAATTAATTAGAAAAGTTGGAACATTTTGGTTTTATAGCTTAGAATAATGTATATTTTCAGTTCAGTCAGCATAATATAATCATAATTATTGTTTAATCAATATTGATTTTAAAAGAATGTTTAATCAATATTGATTTTAAAAGAAATTCAAATAAGATTTATCATGTTTGGTTTGGTTTACAATAGGCCTACAGCTGTTTTCTTATCTGACACACCCACTGCTTTGAGCAGGAGCTTAAAAAGCTATCGTTACGAAGATAGCCTCGTTCACAGTGGGATGTAAAACACATGTAAAACGCGACAGCTACCGTATGCGCATAGTTTATTCTCCCCGGCGACAGGGTGGTGAAACACCTACCTGACAGCAGAGCTATGAATGAGTCGTGCTTATCTACCCACCCCACCCTACCCACTGTAGCTTCCGCAACCTGTTTCCAGGTTGTAGCTTTCAGATAGTTTCACTGCGAAAATTTGGAGCAGGAATTCGAACTGCGTCTTATAAAAAATACATGATACACAAAAGTGTAATGAAATGTAAATCGCAAAAATAATAAGCATTGCTTCTCTAAATATGTGGCGTAGAAAGCGCAAAAAATACCATAATCTACAAACTACAATGAGTTAAAGAACTACAATGAGTTAAACTACAATGAACTACAAAGAACTACAATGAGTTAAAGAACTCTAGACATTATAAAGAATATAATTACATCCTATGATATGCTGGCATTTAAGAATCCCACGAGGCTATTTTGGCAATTACAGTAAATGGATCAGTTATTATTGGCGGATGATATCTTCGTGCGAGTAACTAACGATAGAAATTGGACAATAAGTTTTAGTTATAAGTCTACCACTACGCTGGTAATAATATTATTTGAGTGACAGATTATTTGAATGCATATTTTTATGTCTTTAGTTTAGCGTGCCTCGGGGAGAAAGAAAACGAAAGATAGAACCATATATATTCATAAACGGCACATTTTAATTTATTGAATATGGAAAGGAACATATTAGGTAATAAATACAGTGACAGGACATTCTGAAAAACTCGGGAATTGGAAGTTGCTTTTTTTTTCTTTACAAAGTTTTCTTTATTTTTTATTTCCAAAAACAAAAGAAGTCCCGTGCTCAAGGACACACAAAAAGCACATAACAACAAAGGACAAAAAAAAAGAACAAAAAAAACCCCAAAAAACAACGATTGTTCGAAAAAGTTAAAGTTAATGAAATTGGAATTTGGCTAAATCTGTCAGCAGAAAGTCAGACAACTGGTGAACAACAAGGGTAACAGAATGGGACCTACGGATGACAAAGGAAACGGAAAGCCAGCATAAAAGACGAAGGGATGACTTGAGCAAGTATTGGGAGAGAGTGAATTGTGCAACAAAGTGATGGCGTCAGGCTGACGCTTTCGTCCGGCAGTGGACCGACAACAACAGACTGATGATGATGGTGCTGATGATGATAATGATGACGATGATAACGACGGTGATGATGATGACTGATAATGATGAAGATGATGAACGATAATGGAGATGATGATGATGATTATGATGAGGATGACGAGGATGATGATGATTATTATTATAATAGGTGACGATGATTATGAAGATGATGAAGATGATGACGTTAATAATATTAATAATAATAATAATAATAATAATAATAATAATAATAATAATAATAATAATGGCGATGATTATGATGATTAAATTACTCTTTCATACCGTACACAAAAGCAGGTAATAATTTTCCGATAATAAAAATAAACCGTTAATTATTGGTATTGATAATTTATCTAATGGGTAATTTAATTTATATAAGCCTACCATATTTCTTGAAATATCTCATCCTACAAAGATGAAATCCTGTAGAAGCGGTTTGGAGCAGCAGTTGGGGTTCTGCTCCTCAACATTGAGGGAAGAGGTTCAATCCCTCGCTGTGTATTTCGCTTGTCCTTCGGCAAGGCACTTATTATTTATATATTATTATTAATATTATTATCACACGTTATGTAGTTGTGAAATTAGGTTCTTAGTATTTATGATTCTACAAAATAACGTTATTGTAACGTCATTATAACGTTCTTATAACGCAATATTGTTAGCTGATTTTATCGATATAATTACACCGTAGATATTATTTTGTTATACCTCCATGGTTATTAAACTATCGTAAGCTAAGCCTGACTGCGCCAATGCCCTAACCCAAGTCCTAAGCCTACACAATACACTCTGCCTCGTATAGTTTAGGCCTAGCCAGTTCCACTACCAGCAGTACCGCCTTCCAAGGGCTTGTTTAGCCTACTTACCAACAGCATTTCATCGAATAATTTTCCGAACTCTCATACATAGTAATTTTAATCAGGTAATGTCGGAATCGGAATTCCTATGCTGTCTTTCAATATAAACCAAGTTCAGATCTCCCGCGAAAAATGTATGCTGCTGCAAATTTGTACAAATCTGACGTCACATCCGTTGTTCGTTTAAGGTAAACAAAAGAATTAGGAGCCCAGGCTACACATAAAATAAACATAGAATGTTTATGATAGGATAACTTAAAAACACGAGTCGATGTAAAAATACTTAACATCATAAATTATATATAATTGGATATATTTCAGCAGTGGAGTTGATGTGAGGTTCCATTCTGTTCTAATCTTGCAAAAATACATGGAGAAAAGTTTGCAGAGAATTATTATAGGAAGTTTGACATGAATTACAAAATTTCCTTGTTTGAATTTTTTGTTGAAAATGTTTCATATAAAAAGTTCACCATCACCATTATCATCATCTTCACACCCTCCATAATAACCTTATAATGATCATGATCATCACGATATTTTATATATCGGTGGTAATCTAACGGGACGAAAAAGGTCAAATTTATCTTGCAAAAAGGCCAATAGCATAATCAAACAACTCCAATCTCAAACCCCATAACGAGATTTATTTCATAAAATAATAGTTCCCACCATACAGTAATTGGCGAATGAACTTTTTTCAATGTGAAGCAAATAACAAAAATGTCTTCGAAGTCAATTTTGTCAATTGATATTTGTACACTGAAGCTAATATCGTCATCATTTATCCTCCTAACTGCTTTTAATATTTCTCTAGATAGGCTACTTCCCAACTGCATGCTACTGACTTAAAGTGAAATTGAAAAATAGAGATTAATCATTGTAAATGTTCAACGTTCTACTTTAGATTTTGGATAGGAACTAGCTTGGTGGTTAGAGTATCTGTAAGCCTTGGATGACGAAATGAATCAAAGAGCTTCTTTACCTGAAGCAACAAGCAATTCAACAAAAAGAAAAGAATCGTATACAAAAAGAAATTAACAAGGAAATAAAGAAAGGAAGAAATGGTTTGGGGAGAAAATAATGGAAAAAATCAAAACAGGAAATCCAAAACAAGCATCATGGACTTGACTCAAAACGATTATTGGAATGAATAAAAAACAAGCAGTTTCTATCCCAAAAAGTAGACACAGCAATTTTCAGATGAGCTAAATTGCTATTTTAACAGATTCGACGGTAATAACTATTTTACAGATGAATTAACTTAAATTAGATAAGCACTTATCGAAGACAGTGTCAATAATAGTTATATTAATTAAAATAGTAATTTAGTTAGGAAATTGATTTGTAAAATTAAGATGGAAAATTCACCTGGACCAAACAGTCTTTCGATTTTCGAAAATTGAAAAAAACCATTACCAACTCTTAAGATTAATAATTAGTAGTATATTGGTATATGGATAGTTAAAGGATCTAAGTTGGAAGTCCAACTCAAGTAAACTATATGAAAAAGAAAATCAACGCCTTTTTGTCCTGAAGAAACTTAATTATTTAAATATTAGTAATGACTCATTATATCTTTTTTTTAATCAGTGTCATACATCAGTGCTTACTTTTTGTAATATAATCTGGATAACCGAACTGACCAAGACAAATTTTGGCCAACTTACCAGGTAAGACAATTGGTATTGATGTTAAGGATATCACTCAATTATGTAAAGTTGTCATGATAAACAAACTCAGAGGAATAATTAATGATGCAACACATCTTCTAAACAGTGGTATAACATTCAGAGATCAGGCAGAATAATTCAAATAAGAGTTAAGACAGACAGACACAGAAATTCATTTCTAGTTCTG